GACCATAGGCAAAGCCACAAACATCAGGAATTCATAATTCATCTTGCTATTTGTGCCCAAGTTCTGCCTATAGACGCATCTGAGGAACTGCCATGAAGTCAGTCACGTACTTCCACGCTCCCCCTTACCCCACGGGGAGCTCAATTCCTGCACACCATCACTTTAATCCTGCTAAAACTTAAAATAAGACCCCCAGAGTGTTCCTCTCTTCACTTACACAGTCTCTTTCAAACCAGCTGCTGCACTGATTGAAATATAATGCATAATGCAAAAATTAATTAGGAGAAATTCAATGAACTTGAAAAGTGAGTAATTCAAAAGCAATAAAAGAAAATATTTCCCATGATCAATTTACTGTTGCATTCATCAATACATGAAGTCAGCAAGTTCTTTCTGCCAAGAATTTAATAAGACTGAGCAAGAGATGGGACATTTGCATGGAATTACACACACCCACAGCGGTCAGACCGAAAGTTCAAATGCCCATATGCCCCGCATCTTTCTGTGACAGCAGCCAAAGGCAGAGTATAAAACCAGGGCAAGCAATGGTGCTGTTTTCCTAGAACACTCCCTGCCCTATTATCCCTACCCTTTGGGTATCAATTCACTAGCTAAGTCTAAAGCAAGTGCCCTGAAGAGGTACCAAACCTCATACTTCAGATCTTAAAATTTCCATGGGCAAACAGAGCAAATTAACCCTCATCTTCCAACAACCAAATTTTTTGCCAGTTCCACTGAAGCAACTGGCTTCGGCAATGGGAAAGAAATTACTTCCCTGAGGCCTGGCTTTGTATCAGCTTAGCACTGTCTGTGTCCTGGCAGACTGTCTAGATCATTGGATAAAGAGAAGAGGATTACAGGCAATGGAAAACATAAATCCACAGGCACTTACCTGGAAAGGAGCTTGATCTTTACGGCACCAAGAATGCAGAGGCAGTCTTCAATGACGACCTGGACTGTGCCTGATTCAAAATTCGTGCATTTAATGTTTGCAGTAATGTTCACATCCACTAAGATATCAATTAGCTCTGAAAGAAGGCCAACCAAGCTGAAAAAAGTAAATGGGTTGAACAGATTTCATCTCTCAGCCTCTAACCAGAGAAACTCAGCAAAGCAGAAGCAACAAACTGCACCTCCATCTCCTGCAATTCATTACAAATGCCACAAGCCATCTTTTGATGCCTGTTCTGCTCTGTGACTTTATTATAGGTAAGAAAAATCTAGAAATCCATAAAAGATGCAAAATGTTACACAATAGAAAGCCTGTGGGTAGGGGTTTCCCTTAACAGCTACTGCGACATACCACACTCACCAGTTGCCGCTGAGCTCCAGCTTGGCAGCGATGGTCAGCTGGACCCCGATTCCTGGCAGCAGCACCACGGACAGCTTGGGGAGCCGAACCTTGACAAGGTGTAGGCTGCAAACAACAGCAAAAGCTGGCACAAATTAAAAGCATCTTCTAATCGCTGAGCAGCTGTACACACTGAGGAACCTACAGCGCCCACATCACCACAGCCACCTCCAGCTGGAGGCAGCAGTATTATAAGCAAGAGATACCAGCTCCAGGATGAGAGGCAGAGTCTGCAGCTGAAACCCAAAAGAAGGCAACCCAGAACCAGACTGGGGTGGAAGCCAACTTTATAGAGCAGTCAACTTTTTCTCTCTATGGCACCTTCCTCTCTCTCTCTCAGTGCTGTCAAGCATCGCAGATATCAACAGCAGCATCAGAGCCATCATTCTGAATCTGCATCCATAATCTGCAGTGCACTGCACCATCCACCTTGCTACCACGCAGAAAACTTTTGTCAGGTCAGAATTCCAGTATCAAAATAAAACGAGGATAACTACTTGGGCCAATCATGCCAACTGCAGCTCAGCTTTTGTTGCTTCAGAATTGCTGGTCAAGGTGCACTCACGGAAAAGCCCTCGCTCTCCACTCACCCAGTGATGCTGGTGGGAGAGTTCAGCAGACCCCCTTCACCCATGATGTTTGGGAGCACGAGGCCCTGGAGGTGCTGCTGGAGAAGTCCATTCTGAAGTATGGCGTCCGAGAGAACTGGAAGACATCTCTGCGTGAGGACCGGCGCTTGCAGCAACAACCTCTCTCCACTCGGTCAGATCTGTCCTGGCAAAGGAGTCGCACAACAAAGCCCCGCCGCCCCTCCTTACGAAGTCATTAGCTGTCTCAATGCAGTCAGATCGCACAGGGGAAGATATTTTACAATGCGCACTAAGCCGAAGCTGCCCTTAGTGACTTAACCAGGAGGGGCAGCAGTGGAGACATCCCAGACCTCCGACTGAAAGACTACAGTGCGGTTGTGCACTACGGCAGCGACAGCGGCCCCGCTCAGCGGGAGCTGTGCTTCAACTCACAACTTGTTTCCCATTTGTAAAGGGGGTTGGTTTGTTTGTTTTAAATAGAAGCAACTTGAAACAAGCCTCTTCTTTTTTTTTTTTGCTGGAGCATTGCAAATATTAACACGGCCGCTAAACTTCACAGCAGTTGTTTGTCAAATATCAGCTGCTCCAATATGGAAATGAAAAACTAAGACAAAAAGAGGAAATAATCCAGATCTAGTCCTGAAATTCTGTATGGCTGATTGGTGCTGAAACGAGTCCCAGTTCTGGAGCAGAGAGATTTCCCTGACCCATGAACCCAGCAATGGCTGTCAGAAGCTCTGAGCAAAGTCTGCAGCCCTGAGGAACTATAAAATAAAGATTAAGACACTCAGGAGGTTTTACTCCACATCATGGTCCCACATAGCTTTCAAAACAAACATAATTCTTGTCTTCTAGTTACCATTCTGCATTGCCCCTGGACTGATGGCGCAGGACAGACCGGACAAGACTTCTTGAGAGGGTGAGAGGAGGCCACAGAAAAAGATGATTCCAAAAAGCTTCAACACCGTCATCTCCAGAAGACTCCCCTGCTGGCAAGGGAGACATCAGAGTGAAAAGTGGGGGGAAAGCCTCTGAGAAAGGATCCCAGGGTCTTTACGAGGAAAGAGGTCGAGCGAGAAATCCCTCCTCTGCTCTTTATCGAGCTCAAGTAAGACTCTGCTCAAGCCTGGGGCAGCAGGACCTTGTTCATGTCCACACATGTGGACAGACTTCAAGTGTGGTCAGTAAAAGCCCTTTCCTTGCCCTTTGTCACTTGCCCCAAATATTCTACATGTTCACACAAAAGAAAGCCAAACTGCTTTTCCCCTGAACTGATGTTTAAGCAGTCACTATTTCTGTATCCCTTAGATGAAAAGTTACACGTTTTGGTAAGGGTCTTTGCCAAGGGAAGCGTCTGAGGATTACTTTTGTTCTTTCTAACTTTCAAAAGCAATAAACTAAAGCTCAAGTGACAAAAATAAGCTAACTATAAAGTTATAAGTAATAATTATTAACGTAAATTTAATTATGAAATGACAGACATAGGCAGATGATTAGGAGCTTGGCGCACAGCAAGATCTCAGACTAAAGCAGCCAAGCACTAGGCACGCTACGCGCGTCCTTCCAGAGCTGTAAGGCGACAGCACTGCTACCGCGCCGCCTTCACCAGCCGAGGCTTCGAGGCACAGACGGTGCTATTACCTGCATCAGCTGCAGCCAGCTGGGAAGGGCTCCCGGGTCCGCTCGGGCTCTTCTGGAAGTCGTCGAGACTCTGCGTCGTCCTCCCTTTTTTTCCTGTAACTGAGTTGGAAGAAGTTGCCCTTATATAAAAACTGCAGCCAAGCAGACACACCTTTTCCTCACCACCTCCGCGTCTCACGAGCAGGCACCCCTCCACACTCTTGCTCTTTGCAAGCAACACCCAGCTGCCACCTCTCTTGATTTATACGAGGTAACGTCACCGCTGACTTGACCAGTTGCCGTTTCCCTCTGTGGCCTGGATCACTCGGACGCCGCTTTCCCCCCCCCAGTCTGTCTTAAAAAGGATACCCTGAGATGGTGCCCCAGTGGGGATCCCCATGCTTTGAGGAAACCAGCTTTTTAGGAAACCATGAGAATTACTGAAGCATCTAAATCTGACAGGAGGCTGATGGGGCTGCCCGTAGGGGAGGGCAGTGCACGGAGCACATGGGCACGGATTCAAGGAGGCTTACTGTAGGGAACAATCTACTTTTCCCAATCCCCAAGGAGTTGTGGGACTTGTAATGCTCATTCCTGTTTCAAATGCAACACGGGAAAAAGATTTTCTTGACAAAAAGCAACATGGAGGGGTTGCGGAAACCTGGTAAATGTTGGCTTTGTTAAGACCAAGCTTCAAATTGCTTTCAGTTGTATCTGTAAAGGGTGACATGAATTGTCTGTAAAAAAATGAAGTTGAAATGTATAAAGCCAGCAACAAATATCATTTTGAATAAGCAATGCTTATGCTAGCTGAATGAGCCGAGGGCAGCAGAGACGCGTATTTCAAAGGAAAATCTCATCCCACAGGGATGAAAATCTCATCCCTCAGCAGACGCCTTGGCCGGGCTTCGCGGAAGTTTCCATTGTGCAGGGCCCTGGGAAGATCTTATCTGGGGACTTTGTTCGGGTCTGGTCACCCATGTTCGGCAGGGACGGACTCGGATGGAAACCGGGCAGCAACGGGCTGCCGAGATGACCGGGAAACCGGAGGGGGGCCGGCGCGCTCAGCCTCGCGAAACAAAGATGAGCAGAGATACGATCGGTCTCCACAAACGAGGGAGGGAGAGGGAGAGGGAG